AAGCAAATAACCTTAGTCTTAATGTGAAGAAAACTTAGCAATTATTGAAATATTTAAAATATTCCATTATTGCTACTCAATACAAGATCACACGTCTAGATCATCAACCTGATGTAAGAATAAAATCGTGTTAATGGACATTCTGTGGATAGAGTCAGAACCCACAGATACCTAGGGGTCGAAATTGATGATACTTTAACATGGCACTCTCAATTTGATCAGATTGTTAAAAAAGTATCAGCCGGCCTGGCAATTCTAAAGCGGGCCAGGGCCGAAGTACTGCGTAATACCTTAATTCACATGTATGTACAATGCCCCTAGTTGTTCCATTTTTCGACTATTGTAGCCCAGCAAGGGGTTTGTATCGGAAAATGCCAATCTGAGAGACTCCAAAAGCTGCAAAATAAGGCTGCTCGGATAATAACCAGTTCTGATTATACAATGATGTCGCCATCTGCTATTTTATTACATGACCTTTGCTGGAATACACTTGAAGAAAGGTGTACTAAACAGCTAATGATTACTATATATAAGGTGGTCCATGATCACTTTCCACCTTGGCCTCATAATCTTTTTCAAACAACATCACGAGTCCATACCTATAATTTGAGGGACTTGGTTCATAATCTCTTTACTTCCAGACCACTCTCTCAAACCAGAAAACGTAGCCTACACTATCAAGGTGCTACACCATGGAATAGCCTCTTAACTACTAGCAAAACCCAGACCACTGTTACTGCCTTCAAAGAATCCCTGCTGACATAGGAATTGCTTTTTGTTAAAAAGATTAACGATCTTTTTATTTTAGGATTTAATAGCTCTTGTTGTAGTATTATAGTAGGTTATTATTACTATAGTCGGTTATTATTACTATAGTCGGTTGTAGCATTAGTTTTTAGTTTTGGCATTGCTGTTGGTATATAGCATTGGAATATTACTATTAGCATAATCAGTAGAAATAGTGCTCGTTCTAGATTACTTATGAATGATTATTTGTATATCTAAGTTACACACGGCTCGATGGAAGAGCATATTTTATATGAAATTGATACTGTGTATAAATAAAGCTTATGTATGTATGTATGTATGTATGCATGCATGCATGCATGCATGCATGCATGCATGTATGTATGTATGTATGTATGTATGTATGTATGTATGTATGTACTGTAGGTAATTAAATTGTTCTTCAATCAATCGATCGACTCATGTTAAACATTGAGTTGGTTCCAAATTCGCGAAGATAGGTAAACAAGTTCCCTTCAAGCGAATGTTCGCAATAAATCAAAAA